TTAAGGATGAATTTGACAGCGACAATGTTTCAAAATTAGAAAGGGAAGCAGTGATTATTTGATTATATAGACGCTTCGCCCCTGCCTGTGTGACATCCAACAGACTTAAATGAAACGATGATAAGACGTACTTTTTCCGTAGCCCAAAGTCTTTGGTGACACAATTTGATGGAACTGATCATCCAGTTGTTAGATATAATACAGTGATTTTTAAAGCAAGGGCAAAAACATTTAGGAGTAATATTTTACAACCATTTCCTATGCACCATCAAGTCCGAAATCCATTTAAGACTGCATATTTGGGGATCCGAAAAATTTCATAAAATGGCATCTTTTTAAGTATTGTAACTTCCGCCCGTTTTCTCGAAACGTGGTTTTTCTATATACTTTTTTAAATGGTCGCTTTTAAGCACAAGGGGGCTATCCCGATAATCGAAGGTAAAGTTTTTATCCCTTGTTCAGTTTTTTTAAAAGACAAGGATAGCGTTATCTTTAACCAAACAAATATACACACCAATGAAACTAAACTTCTCCTATAGGTAGGGCAATGCCCACTCTTGGTGTAGGTCAAAATTTCTGGAAATCCCCCGAAATCTGGGTGAGCCCGCTTGTCCTTAAAAGCGACCAAATAACTCCTCCATTTTTCATCCAACCTTCATGAAATTTTCACAGAAGAAAAGATGTAATACTAAAAATTTGTGAGATTAATAATTTTTGATATATGGAGTAGCTTTGTTGTTGTTTTTTTCTTGGTGGTGGTGTTTGGAGTGTGGATTTTCACTGATGGTTTTTTGTTTGTTTTTGTTTGTTTTTGTTTGGGGGGGGGGGGTTGCAAGCACTGGCCCGTAGCAACCTTGGAAGGCGTATCACCAGGTCAGTTGTTGTCATATTGGGCCAAGACCCTGGTTCGAATCCCCTAATGACGCTGGTTGACCTTGGTGTATGGGGAGGTGAGGGGCTGGGTTATCCGTATATATATATATATATATATATATATATATATATATATATATATATATATATATATATATATATATATATATATATACGAATATATATATATATACGAATATATATATATATACGAATATATATATATATACGAATATATATATATATACGAATATAGATAGATAGATAGATAGATAGATAGATAGATAGATAGATAGATAGATAGATAGATAGATAGATAGATAGATAGATAGATAGATAGATAGATAGATAGATAGATAGAATCTTAGATAATAATTAATTATAGTTGAAAGGGCTGTTAAACCAAATGTTTGCCCGTATCGCTGACAATAGCTGTCAACTAGCAGAAAAACCCATACGTCCTGCACGCATGTCCTCGGACTGACACATAATTGGTCTCTTTTAAGGACAAGCGGGCTAACCCGGATTTCGGGGGTTTCCAGAAATCTTGACCTACACAAAAAGTGGGCATTGCCCTACCTATAGGAGAAGTTTGGTTTCATTGGTGTGTATATTTGTTTGGTTTTAGAGAAAACTCTCCTTGTCTTTTAAAGAAACTGAACAAGAGGCAAAAACTTTACCTTCGATTTTCTCAAAACAGCATTTTTCGGGATAGCCCTCTTGTGCTTAAAAGCGACCAATTGACTGGTAGACTTGGCGAAAAATATCAGGCCTTGCCGTCTAGTTATAGCACAGATCATATAGTTTGGCGGTCCTCAAAGCGACGACACTTGTTTAGTTACGTCATCCTTGAACTTACCTGAAAGTAAATCATCTTGAGTCCCGCGATATGTTCGTGATGTGTCTTTATCTTCGAGAGGACGGCGTTCATTGCCGTCTCGTCGTCAAGCACAGAGATGATCTTTTCCAAAGCGGTTATGATTCTTCTAGCTTGATCCATCACTTGTTTCTGCAGTTCGGGCGGCAAATCGTCTCTCTCCGGAGAAAATTTTTCTTGGCAGGAAAATAGCTCAAAGGCGGAAGGATGCTGTACAAATGTTCTGAGTAGGATATTGTTTGAAAAAAAAATGGTGAAATGGTATAGGTTTAATGGGCCCCTATCAACACTTTTAGGTTATTAATTTAAGAGGCGGGACCTCCATCTCCGAAAGGATTGAGTTAATTGGGTATGTCGTGCCTTTCTCAATTCAAGGACACAACGTCGGACCGAGCTGAAGCTCGAACCCCGGAACCCGCAATCTCACGATTACGAGCCCGGTAGCCTAACCATTAGGGTACCGACGCCACTATATTGTTTGATTTGTTACCGTTGTAGCTGTCGTTTTTGTTGCTGTTGTTGGCGGTGTTGTTGTTACTGTTATTGTTAGTGTCGTTGTCATTGTTGTATATGTTGTTATTACGGTTGTTTTAAGACAAGACCTGGTGAGATTAATCTTTATTGTCTAGAAAATGGCATGTTGGTTTGGTATTTCATCTCACACACACATACACGCACACGCACACGCACACACACACACACACACACACACACACACACACACACACACACACACACACACACACACACACATATATATATATATATATACTTACACATACACGTACACATACACACACATACACATACATACACACACATACAAAACAGGCATATAGACACACTTTCGTGCACACCCTCTCTCCCACACATATATACACAAACTCGCATGATATGCGTACACGCATAGACAGAACCGCATTGTTGTTATTGTCTTTGCTATTGTTGTTGTTGTCGTTGTGGTTGTTGTTGTTGTTGTTGTTGTTGTTATCATTTACAATAAGATAATGATAATGATGATAGTAATAATAATAACGACATTATTACCATCGTTATGCTAGTAGTAATAAAAGTTGTTAATCGGCTGCAAAAACGTCACGATTCCCCCCCCCCCCAAATTATCGTCATTAAAAACAATGGCAAAAATAATCTTGCTTCCGCTCCTCTATTCACCCACCTCTTTACTCACCTACTCGCTCACACCGGCGCGGCGTCTGTGGTCTAACGATCACGTGTTTCGTTGTTGCATACAAAAGACATGAGTTCAATCCCAGTGAGAGGAGAATGATTATTCTTCATCAAGAATCTTGATTATTTTCCTGGCCCAACGCACCATTTTCAGCTGGGGTTAACCCTGCCAGACTGGAAGAGTGGAAGCCCGCCTCCTACATGATCAGAATTGTGTTGTTGAAGACACACACTAGGTAGATTGAAGGAGAAGGGGATCCAAAGAGGGGAGGGGGAATACAGCCATCTGTGCGGACCAGTCCGACGGATCTCCAACCAGATTATGACGGAGACTATAAGCAGACAGACTCTGGGATGGATCCTGAAGAGGGGGTGGAGAGCAGAGATGGACAAGTTCCGACTGCAGTGACCCCAACACAGTGGACAAGTAAAAACAAGTAAGACTTACGCACAAATTATTTTTTTAAGATAACACCCCAAAAAAAAAAAAAGAAAAGAAAAATCTGACTCTGTCTACTCACTTTTTCAAGGCCTTCATAGCCAACAAACTCTGATCGTCTTCGTTCCCAACCCATTCCCAAACGGTCTGCATCGTCTTCACCTCTTCAGAGGTCATCGGGGTCACATGGTTCACCGGAAGTGTCGGAGGCCAATGCCCCGACTTGGCCGCACAGCATCCCATCCTTCACACACCACGGCCCCAAATCATCATGTTATTCCAATGTCAATATTTTTTCACTGGCGAGAGCAGAGAGCGAAGTTAGGAGTTTGTTTTGTTTTGGTTCGTGTTTATTTGTGAGTCTGGTTTGTTTAGTTTTTTTGTTCGGTTTTTTTTTTTTTGGTTCTGTTTTGAAGGGGGGGTTGTTGGCTTTTTTTCCGGAGGGGGGGGGAGCGTTAGGGTTTGTTTCGTTTTGTTTCGTCGTGTTTCGTTTTGCTTTGTTTGGTTTTGTTTTGTTATGTACGTGTGTTTTTTCTGGCGAAAACGTAGTAAAAAAACAACAAGAACAAGTAAACGAGTATTATGTTCTTGTGCGGACGCTGTTCATTGTAGTTTTGTCTTATGATTTGCTAAAACCTTATTCGCGATTTTAAGAAATAATTATTGGGCTTCTTGTCGCTTTGATAGTTTATTTCTTCATTTCAAAATTAAGAACTCCCTCCCCTCCCCTCAATCTTTTTTTGCTTTGTTGGTTGGCTGGTAGGCCTACTGACTACTGGCAGCCAAGGTCGAAGCGGTCAGTCTTTTAACCGTATCCGTACTCCCTGGGGTCATTTTGTTCCCCCGGGGTTGTATTCTTCACATTTTAGAATACTTCTGATGCGAAGATCTTTTTGAAACTTTCAGTATTTCTCACAAAATCATTTTGACAGACTGCTATGTAAAGCTTATGGATCGGATTAACAAGTAAACCCTTTGGAAAGGGGTGGCACAGAGTTCCCCACGTCGTATGGATACGATAGTAAAACACGATGTACGGATAGGGGTTGAATGAACAGGATTGCGTTTACAGGGACGTAGTCCGTTTACAATCAAACTGTACATGTACATTATCATTAAGTGTGAAATTCACAAACGTTAGTTTGTTTTTGTCTTGTGGCAATGCTGAAAGAAGTCAGGATGGCTCGATCACTAGTGATAAGGTAAGTGAATTAGTTTAACGCCCGTTTCAACACTATTTGCTTATTTAAGGTCGGGGCCTCAAGTTTTGACGCCTATTTGGATGAACCAAATGAGTTAAGAGTCTGCCTCTCTCTCTCTCTCTCTCTCTCTCTCTCTCTCTCTCTCTCTCTCTCTCTCTTCTCTCTTCACAAAATGACCCAAAGTTCAAAAGGCCTATTCAGAAATTCAAACCACATCCGTCCACTCCGTAGTCCAGCGTGATACCAACAGAGCTAACGTAGTGCTCAATGAGAAAGTAACACAAGCAGTTCTAGGGACTCCTGAATCGACATAGACTCATAGATCTAGAGCTATTGAATATCAGTCCTCTCAATGGACCGAGAACAACTTATATCTACTTAACCCTATCCGTACGTCGTGTTATATTATCGTATCCATACGAGGAGGGGGGAACTCTGTGCCACCACTTTCCAAAGAGGAAATTTACTCGGTAATCCGATCCATACGCTTTGCATAGCAGTCTATCAAAATGATATTTTGAGAAATACTGAAAGTTTCAAAAGAGATATTCTTACTAGATTTAGAAGTATTCTAAAATGTGAAGAATACTACCCCATGGGTACAAAATGACCCCAGGCCGTACAGATAGGTTTAAAGAGCTTGAACAGACTACGACGGAAAAGACTAGGCGAGGTGAAGGGGTAGACCTATTGAGATAATCCAAATCGATAAATAGATCTAGATATATAGATCTAGATCTAGATCTAGGTGGTGAAGCATGATCGTCGATGCCTGCTTCAGATTTGCCTCCTGAACAAGATGGATGAACAGGCCCTCTGTATAGATCTAGATCTAGATCTAGATCTACCTCCAATGTGCTAATGCCTTACCTTCAAAACTAGGCGCATGTTAAGTTTTAAAAATAAAAACAACAACATTACCTTTGTAAAACTTCCGTTTTGTTCAGAGGGATGAATAAAAAGGTTTTCATGGTATATAAAAACAATCATGCCTTAGTTTAAAAAATAGTGTGCAGTGAATTGATACGACGAGCTTTGCGCAATGAGCCTAAACCAAAGAGGATATATTAGTACATGATAGTTCTATTTACAACCTCTTTGGCCTAAACGATGTTCAATGTTCATCGATGGCGCTCGGAAGTGGTGCGAGGGTCTACGAGACATTATTTGGATGTGAAAAAAAGTAGCTCGTCGTTTTTTGCAACTTTTCTTCTTGCGTTGTTTTTTGTTTTGTTTTGTTTTTTTGCTCTCGTTTTGCTTTGTTTCTTGTCAGGCTATTTGATGTTTGAGGGGTTGTTGGGAGGTTGGGTTTTGTTCTTTTTGCTTTGTTGGTAGATCTAGATCTAGTTTTGGTTGCCTCTTTCGTAGTTGCTTTTCTTTGTTATGTTTGATTTTTTTTTCTTTCATTATTAAGATTGGTTGCTTGGTTGGTTGGTTGGTTGGTTGGTTGGTCGGTCGGTCGGTTTTGGAGGAGTGTGGTAGGGGAGCTGGTAGGTTCTACACCTTTGATGTCCCTCTCTTGTTTCTATCTGACCTGAGTCTGTGTACTTTATTATTTTATATATTATTATATATAGATAGATGCAGTCATAATATTTAAATTATTCCTGTTAATCTATTTGCT